CCATCTCTGAGACTGACATCTTTTGATAAAAGAAAAGGCAATTAATGGCCATCGGTCACATATAAAACAATTTGCAATATCAAAATCCATAAGACAACCAAAATTAACTCTTCCACTTGCACAAGGTCCATTTTGTGTAAAAGTACGAAAATGTTTGGGCAACGTTTTTGCTCTGTATTTAGCACTTGATATATATATTCCACAATTCCGTCTTATGCACGATTGCCTAACAAAGATATTGTTTGTAGGAGTCAATAGCTGTAACATTGTAAATCCGGGATGCATCTCTGAGAATTCCATTAGAATCAAAGTACATCTTTCTGTGTGGTATTTTTCTACATGCTTTAAATCCCAGATAACGAGATGATCATTGGGCCAGTTCATGAAGTCAACATCTGATGCCATAGGACCAAAACCTTCTCTATGACTTCCACTGACATACATTTTACCTCTGCGGCCTTCTGCAAATAGCCTATTTCTTATTATCTCACTGATATCGACCGTTTCCCTTCTTATAGCCACCGCTGTAAACGAGCCTTCTTTGCGGGACATAATGACGTAAACAGCATCTGATATCCTGTGCATCTGATCCATTCTGCATAAAAATAATTTTTACAAGAAATAAATACATGTAGTTACAACATTTTCCCCCTCCAAACTAAAATTCTCTAAAGAGCTGTATACAGTAAGTGATAATTAAAACAGAGGGAAAAAGACTGGACACCATTCATCTTTAATTTTTACATTGAATTTGCATTTGTAAAATTATAATGAAAAATATTTTACTGCTTCTTATATTTATATTGTGTCCTGTTTACCTTTCCCTAATTTTTTTACATAAACTTTATAAAGCCAGAACTAGTAAGAAACAATTGCTTATGAACATTTTTAAAATGATTAAAATTGCTTAGCCTGATTATTCCATTACATAACCTCTTACTTTACCTGTTTGTAATAACTGTCCTATAAAATATATGAATACGTATACAGTCTGTTTTTCAATCTGGTAAATCCACAAAGGCATCTATTAGAAAGATAGATCACAAAATTTTCAATGCGGTAATCCCATGCATTTTCGATTTAAAAGCAAAGTGTACACATAGATCGACTCGTCATGACTTGCGAAATGTTTCTTTTTCTGCGAACAACTAATCGGGAAACATCACGAAGAGCTTTAATAATAAACAAGTAATAATTAAGCGGATGGGTTAAGAGGCCCTCTAAAGGGGAAGGGGAGGCACAGATAAAGTTAACCGAATTTTATCTGGATTAGATAAAGTAGGTAAATCAGCGTAAATTTATCAGCGGCAAGTTCAATAATTTTGCATGTTTCATATTCATATATTCATTTTTCTATTTATATTACTAGTTTTTATCAATTTGAGAAAATCAACAATAAATAAATTCTTTTTTTCAAGCGCAAAACATTTACATGCATTGAATTATGTAGACAATATTTTTTTTCAAAATATAAATTATTTTTCAACAAACATATACATAGTTTTGCATGATAGGAAAGCCTATATTAGGGTCATTCTTTGGGTAAGCATTATAAGGCGTAATGATGCAAAAAGGAAAGGCATCGTTACTCCTTTTAAAAGAAGTTATTTTGCCTTTTTGCAAAAGGCATTATATGACTTTTTTTTTAAAATGCGTAATAAATTATACTTTTTGAAAAGCGTTTAATGGCTTTTCACTTTGTATATTATTTATTTCACCTTTTCACTTTATTTTACCCTGAAAGGTACATGTATCAAGAAGCAATAACAGCCTCGAAGTAATGCACTGTATGGTGAACAGCTTCCTCAGCCATGATTGGCTCCTTGTCATTAATATTTCTACATGTGTTCTTGCATTGTAATGCAGCCCCATCAGAAATCTCCTTAAGATATCCGACCCATTTTAGAACATAATTTATGACTAATGGAAAGCAGTTTAGAGTAGAAAAGGATTTACAAGAGAAGAACTTTTCTAAAATATAATAATCTGAATAGTAATTAACGAAAAAATGCAGCGAGGTCTAAGGGGACAGGCAAATTTTTGCAAATAAAAATTTAAATACTAAGAATATCAACAAATGCTATGGTGGAAAGATGAATATAATTATTAAGAATAAAAAAGCGATTGGCAGCTAATTTTTTACCGGATAATTTTTTTTAGAATTAATTTTTGTTGAATAAAAGCAAGGGGGATAACTTTAAGGAAAGGTCAAGGTAAAAAATTAAGACACACTCCGCTCTTACATATTGATACTAAAACATGAAGATTATGTCTACATATAATGAGTATTCAGCCAATATACTGTAAACCAATTTTTAATCCCGACAATATTATTTACGATTTATTTTCGCGATCAGGTCTTTTTGGATCTGTTGTTTATAGACACAGATACTTTAAAGATCGGTTCGTGGCGAGAAATATTCGCGATAACGAGGCTCTCGCGAACTTCGAGAAAATTTCTCTCACGCGAATTAAAGTTGGTTTCCAGTACATCTGTAATACATTCAATTCATTGAATCTGAGGCTATTATGGGTCTGATACCTTACGACTTACATGTACTTAATTTTTATCTTTAACCCATCGTAAGTTTTGCGTACAATGACTCTTGCAAGACTTCAACAACTTGACGTCTTTTCCTTGATGTAGTTTATTGGTATAATAATAGTAATTAATAGAGTTCTGCCCTTGACAAATTCCTTGACCCAGGGGCCATAAAATTCATAACTTTGGAAGAGGTAGTTTTGTTCATCATAACTATGCATTTACTTTGTTCGGTACCCAGAAGATATTCAAAGAATTGATATATTTTCACTTTACAATAGAGCCCGCCCTAACATCAGAACCGTCATGAATTTTACAATTTTGGAAGATGCAACTTTGCTCGTCATAACTAAATTTGTTTTTTGTTTATTTGAAACCCAGGGGCAAATAAGAATTTTACAGAATTAATGCATTTTCACAAAAAAAACCCATCAATATAGCCCCATCCCAACACCAGAACACCTGACCCTGGGGCCATGAAATTCGCAATTTTGGAAGTTACAGTCTTAATTGCCCATTATAACTATGTGCTAAGTTTTATTACAAGGTGTAGAGAAGAAACTTTCCAAGAAATAATGATCATTCACGATATGATCTACATAGCCACGCCCTAACAACATACCCTTATCCCTCGGGTCATAATTTTCAAAATTTTAGTAAAGTACTCAATGCTTCAATACAATCATGCCAACAACTTGGCTAACTGATACATGTAGAGAAATTTTAAAGACTATATTAATTTTTGTGATTTATCACCACCCCTCAGAGATAGGAGGAGGTACAATGAAATTCAGATGTTTTGTTCGCCTTTAGAGTTGCGATGCCAAAATTGGTTCTTTGGTTTCAGAGAAGAAGTTGAATAACTCACGACACAGGACAAACGAAGCCCGTGTGTGACTCAGGTGGCTTAAAAGCAATGAATCTTGATGTATATGTATCTTAATTGATTGAAGAAAAAACGTACAATTTATTTTTTGTTCATGGGAAAGAACATATTTTCATAAAACAGCATGTATATAAATTACATCTAACATACAAATTCGAAAGCAAGGTTAAAATGAAAATACAATTAAATGAAAATATAATTGAATGAAAACATTGTATAAACATTGTCTGATTCTGAAATTTATTTTCTTCATGATTTGCCATTTTATCTGATTGCTTGTCTGCACTGAATATCTTGTACTAGTATTCTATTTATTCTAAGATAAGTTGCCCTCTGCAAATTTTGGTATGGTTTTTCATGTTCTTCTTCTTGAAGAGAACTCTGATAAGACAAAATTGTCCCCTGGTTGTTTCCGCAAATCTCTTGACAGATTCCAAGTATCTGCCATGATATACCTCTGAATACTTTCTTAATATGCCGTCCCCTGTCAGATTGGACGAGAATATTCAGCTCATTTAGAGCTTCTTGTTGTTTTTGCGGGTTGCCACGATAGCACAACACTAACAACATCAGTGTCACAACATATGGAGGTACACAGGAAAACTCCGTGCTGCCAAGCTTAATTCTAATTTTAATTCTTTTATAATAATGATTTCTAAGTCAATGCTCACTGCTACAGCTTTTCGCATTCTCTCAATAAGCGGTAGCGCTTTCATCTCTTCATAATAACAGTTTATATCTACAGTACGATTACAAACGATATACGGCTGTATAATATTTTCTTTTATCGTCCTGAGAAATTGTATTGCATCCCTATTTTTACCGACTGAGTGCAGAAGTAAAGCAAAATAAATCTTATCCGAAAAAAATCCCATACCTACACTAATTTTAAGCAATTTTAAGCAAGCATATATGAATCTTAATCTTCTTTTATTGTTAAGGTTAAATTTTGTTGGATGTCTTGTATAATTGAAAGACGACCCATCTAAGAAGTGTTGATATACATTTGCTGAGAATGATAAGCTGCATTAAATTTAAGTTAGGAGTAAGAAAATACCTATCTGTAGAATGAAGAGTCTTGAAACAATGTTCGACATTTGAAAATAAACTCGGCATTATGTCATTGCTATCAAATTGATAAAAAAAAAAACTCAACATCGATGATGAATACATGTTTGATATCAGATTCTGCAGTACTTAAAACATACTGCCTATTACAAAATTCTACTACTCTCTATGCTTTGAAGTTGAATCACTTCCCTAGGTTTATCAGCACACATCATGATGCGTGTAATACATGCAAATTACTTTGAAGTCATTAATCATTGATGTTGATGAAGATAGCGCTATCGCATGCAAAACAACTGTATCTACCACTATGTATGTAATAGTCTGATATACATGTAAAACACATTGAACAATTTGGGTAAATTTACTTTTATTTTTAATAAAAGATGGTTTACACAAACTGTAGAAGAAACTGGAAATGTTTTTTTTTTAAAATGCCTTTCATTTCATTGCCAGCATTACTATGCATCGCTAGTGGATATATCTACTAGTATATGCTGAAATTTACGCAGGTTTTTCACAAATAAATTTTAATCTACTTTGACAATGCCCATCATTCCACAGATAATTTACATTTTCCGCTACAAGCATACAATGTTCACTACCACCACTATTATTGGGTTCTCCAGGCCCCCAAGCAGAAAATTTAATCCTGGTGTTGCTGCCCATCCACATCCATGTTCTTTCGATAAAGATGTCAGAACCTCCAAGCCAAAAATATCCTGTAATGTAATTTCCTTTTCATGATGTTCATAAAAACATATTCAAACAATGAGTATAAGATAAATATTATACATCTATTTACAGGCTATGAGTACAATTTAGCAGGTTTATTCTCTCCCAAGACATCATCTATAATAGTTGTCGAGTGGAACAGTAGACTTTCTTTTCTCCGAATAGTCAGTAAATAGATATTTCCTTATATACCGAAACCGACTTTACTTGCATTATGTCACAATCCAGATTGAAACAAATAAACTTGATGAAAAGCATGGTAAATGGAATGCCGCCGGTGATTTATTTTGGAATTTGAAAAATTAGAACTTCAAAAATGGTTACTATAGAATCAGAATTTAAAGAAATAATGATATGAATACTTTACTGTCCAAACTTCTTGTTTAAAAGTCACCCACGTAGCGCAGCACTTGATAAGAGCGTAGACCTGATCTAGAGTTCGAATCCCACTATGGGACATGGAGAACGGTCCTTCGGATGAGACTGTATAAAACACGAGGTCCCGTATTGCAGTAGGTGCTGGCACGAAAAATATCCCTTCCTGCTCAATGACCATGTATGCCGAGTATAGGACAACATTTGCAGCTCTCCACCGGCAAGTGGTGGGGTCTCCGTATGAGTGAAAAATTCTAGAGAGGGACTTAAACAATAAACAATCAATTAATCTTTTTGTTTAAAAAAAACCAACAAACCTCTAAGGCGTCTAGCTTCATGTCTTAGAAAGTCGTTTACATAATACGTTTTTGGTTCTGCCAGAATTGCTCCGTATGCCTTGCAAAAGGTCTAAAACGAAGTTAAAGAATATACTTTAAAACCCCTTTTCCGAAAAAGCAACCAAAAACAAAAGCTTTAATATTTGAAACTAAAAAAATGGAAGACCAACAAAAAATATAAACAATAACACTGGTAAACAGTTTACAATTTTCTGATTTCTTAAAAATATTTCTTTTGTCCTTTTGGGTAGAAGACCTGTAAAATGCATATTATACAATTATTGCTGTCTTTTGAGGTCAATACAATGATTTAGCCATCTGAGGAGTACAATATTCACTGAGCCGGAGGGCGAGGTGAATATTGTACTTCGAAGATGGCTAAATCATTGTATTTACCGAAAAAAACAGCAATAATCGTTTTATTATATGATTCACTGATAAAATGATAAAGCCCTCTACTTGTTTGCATTTAATGAAGTCCTAGCTAAATACAAAAAAGAAGGAGAATTAAAATTTAAATAAACCTTACCAGTCGTATCAATTTGAAGTTTTTTATCAATTTAAGTTCCCATGAAAAAAATATAATGTCAGTCTTTTTTAAAGGATAGATTTTCAAAGGAAGGGGTATTATCAGGGAAAACTGACTACTAAAAATAAAAATTATTGTTCAGTAAAAGTGTTGGAAGGGTGTCCCTACACCCCCCTTACCACCCTCATCTGAAAATATATATTCGCTTATGATTTGTTCACATGAAAAAAAAGTCATGGTCTTTTTAATAAGTTTCCAAAAGAATTTATATCATTTTGGAATTTCCCAATCTATTTTTAGAGGAATGCAATGTAGAGGAAATAAATCCTTGTATTGACCTGGAACGCCACGTGCAGGTCAATACAACGTCGTATTTTTCTAACATAGTTGGATCTCAGCCAATCAGAGAGATGGAAAATATTCAATCATATAATAATTTCTATTAGACAAAGGAATTAATGTGTTGCAGATTAATGTCGGATTGACTTTCATAATATTTAATGCAAGAGAATCATTTATTATAGAGTTTATTTTATTCCACGACATCCCTTCTCTCTTAAAAAAATTTTTAGGTCTACACATTGATACCATTGCATCAATCCATTCCATAGGGTAGCGAGTAACAAACAGATAACAGTTGTTTGAATATCGCATCCAGTGATTTGGACAGGCCGCGAAGGCGGAGCCGACTTCTACAAAACAGATAAAAAGAAATGATGGCAATTAATCAAGTACTATATTTTTGATAAAGAAAGGGAAAAAAATATATAGATTTTTCTTTTTGTCTGTTCCCTACAAGGACTTAGCATTAACCAGATTTTCAAGTACCATTGAATCCCTTTTATGAAACAACATATGTCACATACATTATGTAATATATCACACCTGTTACAAGAATAATTACAGTTTTACCGACTTTTTTTATTGACAAATTCCTTATTCATGCTGCACTTCTCCCTTCTCAAACTCCTGTGGTATTGACGTTTTCCACCTAATTTGATATCCAAGAACATACTCTGATCACGATCAATTTTTAAATTGAGGCTAGCTACTGACAGATCAGTTTTTTGTTACAATTTAATGTTCGCATACCGTTAAAAACATCACATCACCCCTTAGAGGTCAATAGTTCTGAGTGTCACATTTAGGTGTATATATTTCCTTCATTGCATGGCAAGCGGTGACGTCTACGTGTACATGAACATCTATATACATGTATACGAGTGGAAAATTTTCCACTGGAATGATTTACAACATATCTAGTCACATTAAAGTTTCAATTTAAGGAGTTGGTCCTTTAGTCGCGCGTTCGAATCCTTCTACGGGATGTTGAGACGGGTCCTTCGAGATGAGACCGCCAAAATCAAGGTCCAGTGTTGCAATAGGTGCTGGCACAAAAAAGATCACCCACATCGAACATTTAAACTAAATTTTTATCAATTTATAAAATATTGAGGCAACAAAGGTACAAAAGAGCATTTAGTGCCGATCGGATTTCCAAGAGATTGTTGAATAAAGCCTTAGTCCTCAAAGACAACTAAGATATTATTTATGAAAATCCAAACAACTTTTTGATATTTGATTTTCAAAATGATTTTTAAACAAAAAAAAGTTTTTGAAATAAACGAACACAAGATATGACAATTTCCGAATAGTATTTTTATTGAAGAGACTACAGAAGCCCCGGAGGGACAATGCTTTACGTTTTAGGTGTTTTGGCTTAGACTTTATATTTTTTAGGTGTAAATTCTTCATTTCGTATATTACGTTTACTTAACCCCAAAATACGGCATACAAGATAGAAGCTACGTGTAGTTTCATAAAGAAGAAAGGAATATTTTGCCTTTGAAATTATTCACAACAATAATTGGAAGTTACAAATAAGAATTACGTAAAAACAATTGAAGTAACAAGAAATTGAATAACAAATAAGAATAAACAAATAACAATAAAGTTATAGAAACTAAGTTTCAAGCTATTGCAGATAGAAATAAACTAATCAG